CCCATTTTTGATCAAAATGCATGGTTTATCTTCCTCCAAAATCGTGAAAAATTGTCTATTCGTGCACGTTATTCCGTTAATGTTACAGTGTAGATTTTATTGTGTTGTCGTTATTTCGTAGACGTTAATGGATAGATGTTATTGCTTTGACGTTATAATGTCAACGTAGTGACGTCGACCCAGTGACGTCTACGTAATCCCAGTATGGTGGGTCGACGTTATTGCGTAAACGGTACTGAGTGGACTTGATTGCGTTGACATTATTACGTAGACGTTATTGGGTGGACGGTATTGCGTAGACSTATGTACGTAGACTTTTCTGGGTTGGTCTTATTGTGTGGATTTTTTTACGTAGACGTTAYTGGGTGGACGTTATTACGTTATACACGTTACTGGGTGGACGTGATTGCGTTGACATTATTACGTATACGTTTCTGGGTTGGTGTTATTGCGTGGATATTTTTACGTAAGTAGACGTCACTGTTTGGACGTTACTGCGGGAACGTTATATCGTGAACGTTACTGCGTGGACGTTAGAGCGGATTTCGTATGAGTGGGACACCGTTACCGCACAGTTACCGCACCTGGCCTGCAGAATTTTGGTGAATCAATGGGGCACTAGAATTTGGTTACAGTACGATTACGGTTACAGTACAGTAACGTCCGTTTCCCACTCATACGAAATCCGCTCTATGATATTGTGTAGACGTTATTGCGTGGACTCGTTGTTGCGTGTGTGTTCTTACGTTTTTTTTAAGATTTGTGTTWCCCGCTACATTGAACACTTTAACATATATGATCTCTTTGTCTTTAATGTGGTAACATTGCACAGATTTTACATTCCTGTTTGTAAATGGCCTAGAAAAATACTAATCAGATTAATAGCCATTTTTGATCAAAAAATATGCCTGATTTTACACTTCACTTTCATAAAAACATTGATATTTTCGATTAGATTTCTAAATCGTGTTATGAAGTTCCAAAAATACCCTTGTAGTTTGAACGAATGTTCAAAGCGTCTCTCGTCAAATCACTTTGCTGACAATCGCTGTAMGTTTTGGACGCAGTCGTTGGTTATTAACATTCAGAAGTGATGAAAGAAATGGTTACTTCCAGATGTTCGCCAGTGCCCATCAACCCATGTTGTAATTCAGTATSCACAGCGACAAGAGCAAAATAAGTAGCACAAGATGAGAGTTGARAGACCGCTTTATAAAGTTTTTGTTTTCTCGACAGTTTTCATAAACTTCAAGCTAAAATAAGAGGACAAAGAGCTCTTTGCTGGCTCACTGAAGATGGACGCCATAAAGCATGTTGACTTTCTCACTGACTTTGGCTTTAACATCAGCGAAGTACTCAAGTGCTTCGTCTAGATCGTCCTTCTTCAGCATGAAGACGTCCGCATGGGTTGCTGCGCGGACAGAGAAGTTCCGGGGGGTGCTGATCACCAAGCTTTTCTCCCCAAAGAAGCCTCCTTCYTCGAGTGTTTCCATGACCTCTGGTGGTTGCTCTTCGGTAACAATTTCGACCTGGAAGAAACGTTATTGAATTTTATTGGATTGCAAAAATATTATGCAGCAACGAAGGAAAAGATTGAAATAGTCGAGATGTAACCAATCAAACATCAAATCAACAAATATATGAATTACCCTATCAATCAGCCATCAATCTATCAACCCATCAATCAACCAACTTATCAATTAATCAACCTATCTACCTATCAATCAATGAATCAACCAACTTATCAATCAATCAACCCATCAATCAATCAACCCGTCAATCAATCTACCTATCAATCAATCAACCAACTTATCAATTAATCAACCCGTCAATCAATCTACCTATCAATCCACCAACCCATCAATCAATGCACCTATTAATCAACCAGTCCAGCAATCACCCAAACCATCATTCAATTAACCCATCAATCAATCAACCAGTCAATCAATCAACCCGTCAATCAATCAACCCGTCAATCAATCAACCAGTCAATCAATCAACCCGTCAGTCAATCAACCCGTCAATCAATCAACCCGTCAATTAATCAACCAGTCCATCAATCAACCCGTCAATCAATCAAACCATCACCACTTAGGAATTCTATGAAAACCACACTTATGTGATAGTTTTTCCTAATAAAAGATTGTTATTATTATCAATCAACCAAACCAATAAATTAATCAAACATCCAATCAAGCAATTAACCAATCAATCAACCAATATATAATGTAATCAGACTTATCATTCGCAATGAATCGCACTCACCAATCCTTTTTTAATGAGRTACATTTCTTGTCCAATATCACCTTTACGAAAGATGTACTCCTTCGCATGGAACTGACATGGTCTTGCTTTCGTGGCCAGTAGACGAATAAAGGGAAGATCGGCATCTGAGAATAGTGGAATCTAAATAAAAAGAATCGATTTTAAGTCAGGAGGAGTATTTCTATGTTCTATTTTTTTGACTTACGTTACTGTCCTACGTTACAATTGACTTACGTTACTAATGCCTTGCGTTACAATTGACTTACGTTACTAATAAGTTGCGTCACTATTGACTTGCGTTACTAATTACTTGCGTTACCAATGTCTTACGTTACTATTGACTTGCGTCACTATTGACTTGCGTTACTATTGACTTGCGTTACAATTGACTTACGTTACTAATGACTTGCGTTACTATTGACTTACGTTACTAATGACTTGCGTTACTATTGACTTACGTTACTTATGATACTGCCAGTGAGTGCGTTACATAGTTCACCATTCATACAGTGGGGCATGTCATGGAATAAGCTCTCGTACTCAACGCCCCTGGACATAGATGAAACATAATCATTGATTAAATTAATCAATCAATTAATCAGTCAATCAACCAACCAGCCGATCAATCAACAAATCAGTCAACCAATTAATCAGCCAACAAATCAGCCAATCTCCAATCAAGCAACCTATTAATTAGCCAATCAATCAATCAACCAACCAATCAATTTGCCAATCAACCAATCTGCCAATCAATTTACCAATCAATCTACCAATTAACTAATCAATCTACCAATCAATTAGCCATTCAATCAACCAACTAAGCAAGTACTAAATAAGTCTACCAATCAATCAACCCACAAATCAATCAATCAATCAATCAATCAATCAATCAATCAATCAATCAATCAACTAAACAATCAATCAACCTTTTAATATATTAATTCCATCAATCAATCATACAACCAAACAATCAATCAATCAACCAATCAATCATTTAATAAGAAAGAAAATATATGCAAAACTCACTTGTTTGTATTCCAGATGAACTCATAAAAGTTCTTGACGCGTTTTTGCAAAGACAGTGGTATTTCTTGATCACTCATGTGAGCCTAAATACAAAGACCATGGAATTGATTATCAGTTCATTATTTCATATACTCACTAATGAAGGCTTAAATGATTCATATCTCAAACACCCCTTCTCACCCCACCCCTAGCGTCTTTTAACCCATCTTTTTAGTTTGTATAAAAGTTTYCARCATGCAATGTTTTTTATCATTTTAGTGARCATAGGGCATAAGTTGGATTACCTCKATGGCCCCGAGTTTATCTTCGTACTTTACGCGAGCTATTTCAGCGTTGGCTAATGTAGAAGCGACGTTACCAAGGATGAAACCAAACATGAGCTTACCAAATACCATTACAGCACTKGCATACACTAGAAAAGATTTCAATGAAACAAATGAGTGAATGAATGAAATAATAAATCGATGAGTGGAAGGATGGGAGGCGGATTGATAAAAAGGACTTAAAGGGCACAGGATTATGGAATGAGTTTATTAAATAAAAGTAAGGGAAGGACAAATGAATAAATGAATGGATAGAAGTACAAAATGATGGATTTATAGTTGAATTAAGGGCGGATCCAGTAGTCTCAGTGCGCTTTACAAATATATATAAATAAATATAACAAATACATAAAAATTAGAAATTAGAAAAACATATCACAATATTAAAAATACACACAAAAAGTTCAAAAAAAAATTATTTTCAATGTTATAAGAAATAAGTTTATTGAGAAAAGAAAGAAAGAAAAAATGAATGAATAAGCAGATGGAATAAATGAATGAATGTCAACTCTACTGGTGTCGATAGTCGAGTCTGTATCAACACGACAAAAACACCCACCCATCTCCAGTTGATTGACAGCATGTACGTCACCATACCCAGTAGACGTAACCGTGGCAACCACCCAGTACAATGCCGTACAGTAGCGCGTAATTGGGTCAATATTTTGATACCCTGAAATAAAAAACAAAACCACTTGTTTCAAGTTTCAATCGCTACCCCGGTACTATTGTTACAGTACATCATCAAGATCCCATAATGCATTGTGTGACGAGGTCACGTGATACGCACCTTGGCTGTATATCCATGAATGGGTTTGGGAGCAAACAGCACCAGGACAATCGATGAAAAACCAACCACAGGCAAATACGTGGACAACCAAGATGACATCAAACAGAAACTTGCTCATGCGCACTTTGAATACACTAAGATGATAATAGTGGATGACAAATCATGAAAAAGGCTCGAACAATAAAAGAATGAGTATTAGTACTTCTCTAAAGAAGAAGAAAACAGAAGAACAAGAGCAAGAAGCAGAAAAAGTCAACAGTGAAAATGGACAAGAGCAAAGAGAAGAAGCAGAAGACAACGGTGAATAAGACAAAGAACAAGAAATAGAAGACAACGCAGGAGAACAAGAAGAACAAGCAGGAGACAACAACAAAGATGGACAAGCTCAAGAAGAAGAAGAAGAAAACAACGGCGAATAAGAAGAAAACGACAACAGCAAAGAAAACAAGAACAAGAAGAAGAAGACAACAAGAGCAAAGAGAAGAAGCAGAAGACAAGAAGAAGCAGAAGACAACGCAGAAGAAGTTCAAGAAGCACAAGCAGAAGACATGCAACAGCAAAGATGAACAAGATCAAGAAGAAGAAAAAGACAACGGCGAAGAAGAAAACGACAACAGCAAAGAAAACAAGAACAAGAAGAAGAAGACAACAAGAGCAAAGAGAAGAAGCAGAAGACAACAGCAAAGATGGGCAAGAGCAAAAAGAAGAAGTTAACAACTGCAAAGAATGACAAGAGCAAGAAGACTGAAAAAGAGAACAGCAAAGATGGACAAGAACAAGAAGACAGAAAGAACTGAACAAGATGAAGAAGAAGCAGAACAAGAAGAAGACGAGAAGAAGGAAGAGGAACAAGCAGACGAAGAATGAAAAAGAGAAGTACAGAATAAGCACTAATACAACCAATTTTTTACAACAACTATTTCACTTACTCGATGTCCAATTTCTTGCTGTATTCAGAGAAAAACTGTTCCATTCTWACAAGTCTCAATAGATGGAGAAGTCGAAGGTAGGAAAGAATTTCCAGTTTTGAGCCAGAAGGTGCAGCCAAGGCGAAGATGTCAATAGGAAATGATGC